TCCTTCCTTCCTTCCTTCCTTCCTTCCTTCCTTCCTTCCTTCCTTCCCATTGCTGGATAACTCTCATTCCTCAGAGCTGCCAGGCTCAGCACAGACAGAGGGGAAAGCAGATTCAGTCCTGAAGTTGGGTGTGGCCTCCAACCCCCTTCTCCCACAGGGATATCTGAATTTTAGAAGCCTGCCCTCCATTCCTGCCCTCCCAACTTTAACCAAGTACCTGAGTGCTCAGCACTGTGTTGGACACTTTGGTATGCGTTGTTTCATTTGGTCCTCTCAGTGGGCAGGTGTTGTATTCTTATCACTGGGCAGGTGTTATAATATATCTTTCCTTATCGTTAGGCAGGTGTTATATCCTTCCTTTTCCACATGGGGAAAGCAAGGTCCTGAGACTCTGAGCAAGTTCCCCAAGATCACACAGCTAGGAAGTGATGAAGCTGAGACAAGACCAGCCAGCACTTACCCACCACGGTGTAACTACTCATTCAAAAGATGACATCTTTTGAAAATGTTTATTCTTTGAGCGATAAGGTCTTGCTTTGCTGCCCAGGCTGGAGTACAACGGCATGATCATAGCTCACTGCAGTCTCTAACTCCTGGGCTCAAGAGATTCTCCTGCCTCGTCCTCCCCAAGTAGCTGGGAACTACAGACAGGCACATGCCCCCATGCCTGGCTAATTTTTAACAATTTCTTGTGGAGACTGGTCTGACTGTGTTGCCTAGGCTGGTCTCAAAACTCCTGAGTTCATGCGATCCTCCCGTGACAGCCTTCCAAAGTGCTGAGATTATAGGCATGAGCCACCAGTGACTGGCCACAAAAGAGACACCTCAGTGACAGATGGTGATGAAAGAGAAGATGGGTTTGGGGGAGGAACTCCACGTGATAGGGAGCCTTCACTGAGGGCCCGGGCTGCGGGAGGCTCGTATGAAACACCAGAACTCTTTGTAAAACTTCCTGTGTGTACATGACCTGCTCATTTCTCAGCATAGGCTCCTCCTGCCCAGATGGACCCCTCCGCATCTAAACCCACAGTTCCTGTGGTCAGAAGGCCAGTCACTGAATAAGGGCACCTAAGGCTCTGGTCTGAATATCTCCCCTTGGTTCTCAGTCTGAAATCCCAAAAGGAAGACAGCTGACTGCAAAATAGGCTGGATTTGTCCTTCTGATGGCCAGTAGAGGTGGCTGTTGATAGAACTGAAAGCTTAGGGCTGGGCGCGGTGGCTCACGTCTGCAATCCCAGCACTTTGGGAGGCTGAGGCGGATGGATCACCTGAGGTCAGGAGTTCGAGACCAGCCTGGCCAACGTGGTGAAACCCCATCTCTACTAAAAATACAAAAATTAGCTGAGTGTGGTGGCAGGCGTCTATAATCTCAGCTACTCAGGAGGCTGAGGCAGGAGAATTGCTGGAACCCAGGAGGTGGAGGTTGCAGTGAGCCGAGATTGTGTCATTGCACTCCAGC